ATTAAAAATAAATTAGCCCCAGGAATTGTTATTTTTCTGTACACTTGATTTTGTTATGATGATGGCAATAATCACAAAAGCATTTATATGGTACCAGACATGTATCAGGTGCTATTCTAAGTCTTTTTTGAAGTCGTTTATATACATTAACACATCCAATTCTCTCAATAATCCTATGAGGTATGTGTGATTATCATCCTCATTTTTATAGAGCAGGAGTTGAAACACAGATATATGAAGCAACTTGGTAAAGGTCACACAGCTAGTGGTGGCAGAACTAGAGTGTGAACCTAGGCAGTCTGGTTGCCAAGGGTTAACCATTATTTACACTGAGGCAAGTTTCTAGATCCTTCTTTCCTGGAAAACAAACTCCTCTGGCTCAAACTCAGACATACTCCTCTGGCTCTGAATAGATTAGGGATCAAATTGAATTTCAAATGATTCCTCATATAACTAGAAGCACATAAATTGTGAAACATCTCTCTTTTGTACCAGGGAGCTATGTCTTATCTAGAATTTTGGTGGCGTAGTGGTTAACAGCTATGGCTGCTAACCAAAAGGTAGGCAGTTCAAATCCACCAGCTGCTCCTTGGAAACCCTTTGGAGTAATTCTACCCTGTCCTAGAGGGTCACTGACAGCAATAGGTTTCTTTTATGTCTTATATATCCTGGATTCCATTTACTCTGGGTAATCCTTAGCCAGCAATATTCTGCTAAAAGAATTTCTGAGATAAAATATTTTTCTTCTAGCAAATACCTGTAGTTGATTTACCTAGAGTCCAGTTAACAAGGACAAGAGTCTGATCCCTCTGCTTCTTTCCTTTACTTCAAGGAATATCCTTATGGTGAAGGAGTCAATGGGTAGCAGGCTAGATGCTGTAACTCCTTCCTCTCATATACTCATAAGCATACTATTTACTGCAGCCTGGACCCCATAAAAAGCACCTTTATTATACCATTTTAACTGCCCCAAAATGTACATTCAAAAAAACACTACAAATAATAGAGATATAATAAAGTAAAATAAAAGATGACCAATTCAATCAATTTATTAAAATTTGATTTTCACACAATTGTTTGACAGTGTGAAAATGGTCAATCACATAGAAACAGAAGCAAAGAAAAAACTGTGAACAAAAGTATTGAAGATACTAATAATTTTGGTATACTAAGCCTTTGTCTACATACTTCTAGCTTTCCCTATAATGTATTTAAAGAAAAGAAAGTTATTAGTATATAGTATTATAATTATAATAATTCCATTAATTTCATCCTTCCTTTTACTACATATTCCACCATTTTTTCTATTTCCTATTTTCTTTTTCAACAATTTATTTCTCATTCTTTACTTCTATCATGAATTTGTGCATTAAATGTCTCTGAGAGACATTATTCAACAATAAATTATGTGGATATATGGTTTTTGAAAGACTAAATTATGATTTGAAGCCTTGGGGAAATAACCAAATAAGTTTCTCTTGAAAATGTGTTATATGAGACAAAGCATTCAGTAATAACAACATTGCAAAACAAAATATAAATGATTTTGTAGAAACTCATATGACTCTATAAACTGCGTGACACATTTGAATATTCCATAAAGTGCTTCAGGACCTTTATTATTCCAGGTAGTTATTTGGAACATGCCTTTGATTCCTGTCCTAACAAAATACTATTAAAATAACCAAATGAATATCAAAGTTGAAAAAAGTCATCTATGCTAAAATAATGACAAAAGAATACATAGAAGTAATTTCTGTAATCTTGGTAATCAATGTAATCTTGTAATCAATGGTTTCTTAGATATGACACCAAAAGCACAAGTGGCAAAAGAAAAAATAGATAAATTGGACTTTATCAGAATTAAAAACATCTAAGGGCACACTCAAGAAAGTCAAAAGAAAACCCAGAAATTGGAAGAAAATATTTACAAATTATATATCTGGTAAGGGACTTGTTCAGAATATATAAAGACCTCTTACACTTCAACAGTAAAAAGACAAATAACTCAATTAAAAATTTTCAAGGGATTTCAATAGATATTTCTTCAAAGAAGACATACAAATAGCCAAGAAGCACTTGAAAAGATACAAAACATCATTCGCCATTAGGAAAATGGAAGACAAATCCACAATGAGATACTACTTCATACCCACTAGGACTGCTACAATTAAAAACATTGAAAATAGCAAGTACTGGAGAAGATGTGGAGCAATTAAAAAATGTGTATTTCTGTGTGTCCTTAAACTGGTGCAGCCACTTTGGAAAACAGTCTGGCAGTTCCTTTAAAATGTTGAACCCACAGTTGCCATATGGTCCAGCAATTCCACTTGATATATTTACATGAAAATTGAAAACACATGTTCACACAAAAACCTGTTCACAAATATTCACGGCAGTATTACTCATAATAACCAGAAAGTGTAAAAACCCAAAAGTACATCAACTGATGAATGCATAAACAAAATTGTGTTATATTCATACAATGGATATCATTCAGCAATATAAAGTAATGGAGTACTAACATGCTACAACTTAGATCAACCTTCAAAACACTATGCTAAATAAAAGAAGCTAGTTACAAAAGACCACATATTGTATAGTTCCATTTAGATGAAATGCCTGACATAGGCAAATCCATAAGAATTGAAAGTAGATCAGTGGCTGGCAGAGGCTGGGTCAAGGGGCATGTAGGGAGTGGTTGCTAATGGGTATCATGCTTTTTGGGGGACGTGAGAAAAATATTCCAGAACTAAATAGTGTTGATGATTACACAACCTTGTATACTAAAAGCTACTTTAAAAAGGTGAATTGATGGTATGTCTATTACATATCAATAAAGCTATAAGAAAAATAATGACATAAATTTGTCTTTAGTAATTTAGAAAATTTTAGGGATATTTAGTTTAAAAAAAATGTGTTGAATAGGAGAAATAGCACTGATTAACTGGTTTCATCTACCTGAAACACATGTGAAATGAAGATTCATCTGGAAAGTGGTCAAGATACCTAGTACAACATTCCCCCCAAATCCAGAAGTATGAAATACTAGTGTTCTTGGCAACAGTTCCTGGGAGTTACTGGCCATTGTCTTCTAACCTAACCTAGACATAAACAGCATATCAGAAAAAGGTAATGTGTGGCTTATCCTAAGTAGAGTTCTTTTCAAAATAATTCTTAAAAGTGAAAATATAATGTAAAAGAAAATAATGCAACCATCTAGACTGATGTAATGATGTACTAAGATTCTTTTAACTAAACCTTGGTGAGAAAGTGGGAAGAAATACAAGCTATGAGAAATCAAGAAATACAAGTTATGAGAAATCAACTTTCATAAGAAAGATGACTGCATCTTATCATATTTTAATGTTGATAAAAGTAACATTTAAATGTTGTTTTGTAAATTTAGCATACATGACTTTCAAATCATCAGTGAAAATTTTAGAAATGTAGGTAAAATATAGGATAGATTAATTTATACAGTTGGCCTTCTGTACCCGCAGGTTCTGCATCCGCAGATTCAACCAACCTTGGATCAAAAATATTCGAGAGAAAAAAAACAAACTTTTTTTCTTTGTCATTATTCCCTTAACAATACAGTATAACAACTATTTACATAGTATTTACGTTGTATTAGGTATTATAAGTAATCTAGAGATGATTTAAAGTATATGGGAGGATGTGAGTAGGTTATATGCAAAGACTACACCATTTATATAAGGTACTTGAGCATTCAGGGATTTTGGTATACAAGGGGGTCCTGGAACCAATCCCCTGTGGATACCTAAGGAAGACTGTATGTGTATATGCACATGTGTGTACACAGAGACAGAAAAATATTAACTAATGTTAACTCTGAATGCCAGCAAGATGAATGATCATTTTTTCTTTCCTTTTTTAACTTTTCTAAATACTATTAATATAAAATTTTCTCTGATAATAAAAATGGACAGAAAAATGGATCTTACAGTTACCTTTATAAATATTTTAATATACATAGATATGTCCCTCCTCCTCCCCAAAAGATGATTTGCTACTTTAGTTAACACAATTGAATATCAATATTTTAATTATTTATTTTTCCATACAGTAGTTCAGTTGCGATTATAAGTTCTTCAAACATTTCTTCCATGCCGCTGGTTAAATCTCACATCTCTGAATAATTTTCTCAGGGCCTCCTTCATCTCCTTATTCCTGAGACTGTAGATCAAGGGGTTGAAAACAGGAGTCAACACAGAATAAAGTAAACTCACAATTTTCTGGATCCCAGCTGGATTGCCTGCTGTTAGGCTCACATATACAATCATGATGGAGCCACAGAACAGTGATACCATGGCCATGTGGGAGCTACATGTGGAGAAAGACTTATGCCAGCCTTCTGCTGAGGGGACCCTCAGCACAGCTCTGATCACCAGGGTGTAGGAGCTGATAACGTATGGAAGGTGGAGAACATGAGGATAGAGTTAAAGATGGCACAGCTGACCTCAATGGCAGGAGCTGGCACACAGGACAACTTCATAAGTGGTCCTGGGTCACACAGAAAGTGATCAAATTTACTGGGACAACAAAACAGGAGCTGAGAGATTAGGTAAACAGACAAGAGGAAATACAAGAAGCCGCACATCCAACAGCAGACTCCCATTCTGATGCAGCATTGGACTGTCATAATGGAGAGGTAGTGCAGGGTCCTGCAGATGGCAAGGTAACTGTCCAAGGCCATGATGGACAAGAGGAAAGTCTCAGTGGTGCCCATGGAGAAGAAGTAGAACCGGAGGAAGCAGCCAGAGAAGCAGATGGTGCTGGATGCAGAGAGAAAATTGGCTAGCATATTGGCGGTAGTGGAAGTTACAAACCAGATCTCCAGGAACGAAAAATTGACCAGCAGGATGTACATGGGAGTTTGTAGTTGATGGTCCTGCTTCACAATGTAGATAACGCACAGGTTCCCAATCAGTATCAGAATATATGTCCCAGAGAAGAATCAGAAGAGGACGATCTGAATCTCCCAGGTACAAGGGCAGCCTAAGAGGATGAATTTACTCACAGAGCTAGAGCAATTAACACTAGGATTTTTATTTGATTTTAAAGCCTCAAAGACAACAGATTTCCATATTAGAAGTAGCATTACATAGTATTATTTATTAAGTAGATGCTTTGAGTAGGGTCATATGATTATGCATGTTAGTCAATAACATAATGCCATAATTCATGCAGAGATTTTTTTCATGATTTTCAGATATTCATAGTCCTAATCTGGACTTAATGGCACAATAGTTAATAGCTCAGCTGCTAACCAAAATGTTGGTGGTTCAAGTCCACCTGGCAGCTCCTAGGAGAAAGACCTGGTGATCTGCTCCTATAAGGATTACAGCCTAGAAAACCCTATGGGACAGTTCTACTCTGTCACATGGGGTCACTATGAGTCAATATTGACTCACTGGCACCTAACAACAACAACATTCTGGGCACAATAATACAAAAAAACAGACACTTTTCTTCCCTTTGAGGATTACAATCAAAGGGAGTTGAAATCGAAAATTGTAACCTAACAATTTTACTTCAATCAGTCAATGAATAAGAACTGCTTACAGCAGAGATAACATGTTTCTGACATATAAAGAGATTAAAGAGATTGATGTTCAATACTGTACAGCTGTATGTACTGTCAAACTGATTTGAGGACAATATTCAGGTGTATTTATAGATTTAAAATACTATATGCAAGGTGATTCATTTTAGTTTTACTGTGTTAGAATATGGGCTATATCCCAATATCTATTTTTAGAATATATTCTAACCCAATATTAAGGAGAAATTTTATAAACATTTATTAGAAAATTCCACATTTCGGTTTTTCTTTTTATTAAAATATCCTCTTAAAAATACTATATGTATAAATTTCCTTAAAAAATTTTTCACTGCATTACAATACTTGGAATACTACATAGGAAATCAAAGAGATCATGATCAGTGGATTTGTATCAGCAAAGACACCCAGAAAAATGGGTGTCTCCTCTTTGTAATCCTGTAGAGAAGAAATTCCATCATTTTCATTTCAAGGTCTAGTGATAAGTATTATTTGATAACATTTTGTCTAAATTGGTTCTCTAACATTGCAGTTTAAGTATTTTGAAACAGTAGTCTTTACAATTACTATCTCAATAAACCATTTAAATGAAATTAATATAAATATATGAGATACAGGATAATAATTAGTAAGACTCTTCAATACAATATGATTTGCATGGAGGGTTAGTCTTCAACCCTCAGATGAATTTATGTGAAAAAGAACAAATACTCAAAGCTGATATTCTAGAATAGTGGTTCTCAAATTGTGATCTGGGGACCCGTGGTGGTGTTTGAGAATCTCTCAGGACTGCCAGATCAATCATTATTATTTCCATAATAATAATGAGGTATTATTTGCTTTTTATACTCCTATTGCTTTATGGGAAACCCCGGTGGCATAGTGGTTAAGTGCTACGGCAGCTAACCAAAAGACTGGCAGTTCAAATCCACAAGACGCTCTTTGGAAACTCTATGGGGCAGTTTTACTCTGTCCTATAGGGTTGCTATGAGTTGGAATTGACTCGATGGCAGCAAGTATTGTTTTATGATGATTAAGTGAACATTTCCAGACTATGTGATGTGTGATATCGCAACAGACACAAACTAATTGTAGAGAATCCAATTGTCTTCTATTAAGCCAAACATTAAAGAGATTTGCAAAACTGTAAAGGAATGCAACTCTTCTCACTAATTTTTATTGTTTAGGCAAAAGTAGTTATTTTTCATAAAAATACATCATTTTTGTTAATAGAAAGTCAGTTTTTTATTTGTATTTTTAAATGAATTTCTAGATAAACATTTATTTTTTCTCCTTTTTAATTTTCAAATGGCAAATATTAATAGCTGTAACTCACATAAACAAAATCTTTTGGGCCTTTGATAGTCTTTAAGATCATAAAGAGGTCTTGAAATCAAAAAGTTTGAGAACCACTATTCTAGTTCAATCTTGCCTCTTATAGAATAATTAAATCCCTTTCCTAGCCATTCAGAGCAAAGTATAGTTTGGACAAGAGCTTTGTATGGTGCTTGACTTGTTTCTATTTTTCCACTAACATATTTTAGTCTTGCTAGTTTCTCTAAACATCATTATGATCCACATATGAAAATAGCAGTTTGATATAGACTAAAAAAATTCTCTTTAGGAAAAAAAATTGTATGCCTATTTTAAATTAAACATTTAGACATTATAGAATGATGAATTCCTAGTATGAAAAAATAAACCAATAAATAAATAAAATTATGATACTATTATTTTGTTTTGTTTTCTTTTTGCATAGCATAAAGACTGGCAACCTAAATTAGAAGCATCCAAAATTTTCAAATTAGTGCTCCAAATTAATAGTAAAAGACAAAGACCTTGCTAGAAAAGTGGCCTAATTTAGTCAATGTGTCTGGAGGCAAAATGTGACAGACCATCTGTCACAATTAAGGACCCAAGCTCTAGAATAACATTGCCATTTATATCAAACTCTATTCCTAATCTGTGTTATGTTGTTTTTCACCTAAGTTTATAGTTGATATAAAATATTTGATATTAAAGTCAAACATGTATCTTTTAAAAAGACATGTCAAAGTTGGTTATGTTCACAAAGACTATCCCTCAAACTTTGCAATCCAAGTATAAATAAACTTTTCTTGCCTCCTAGTCCCTAAAATTTACAAAAAGTAACAGGAAACATGCAATATATTATTTGACATTTCATCGAAAGGAATGTATGTCCACGTTTATTTCCTGGAACTTTGCCCTAACTTAGGGTCTGAATTCCATCATATATAGCAGGAATGCAAAAGGGAACTGGCAAGCCTCTTTAAGAGTAAACTTTTGAAATAACATTTTTATGAGCTTTCAGACAAAATCTTGGGTTTCATTCTGGAGGATCAATGCTTTTAAAATTCACATATTCATTGGTAGAATAGAAACCTATAGCAGGGGTGGGAGGATGGTAATAGGGAAGCTGGAGTCATGAGAACTTTACACTTACCTGAAGATACATGGCGGGTAGCATAGAAATATGTATAGCTGAATGTCATCCTCCACATCAGAGTGTAAACCCTAGCCTCAGATCTCAGAAAAACCCAAAGTAATTGTGTTCCACACGTTAGTATGGAAACTCATATGAACTACTAAGGAGGCTTTTAGTAGCAAGAACATTGCAGAATTAATAAATCCATCAAGAACATCATTTAGAGCTTGCTGTTTGTGGTCCTCTTGCTTATATAGGCAGATGGTATAACAGTCAACTTAACAGTTGCAAAGAGAATATAGTTTCTCATTATCTAAACAGAATCAGTTGTACAGCTGAAATTTACAGACGTTGTCCCTTTTATGAGGCCATCTTTGGGGAGTGGCTCTCTAGAGATGGAATTTATAATACAGTGGTCCTATTGGACCATGGCTTCCTATTCTGCCCTTTACTTAGCATACCAGAGTTTGTTTCAGATTCTTACACATTTCCTATTCTAATTCAGGTTTCTTTCTTTTTTTTTTTTCATTTTGAATAATGAAGATAAATAAAATCATTTCACCAGATGTAAGTGTGCTACTTTAATTGTAATTGAAAGTAATCTCCCCTCTGATGATAATGAAAAAGTTATGACACTGGTAATGAAAATTAGTTCCAAGCTTAGGGAAAAGTACCTTGAGGTATAGGTTAACATAGAGATTAGAAATAAATAAAATGGATCATATTAAAGACTCCTGTCTATTTTAGGGTAATCTATCATCTCAGCCTCACTTTGCATGCCCTACTCCAAGCTCACCACTGCTGCATTAAGGGATAAATTCCTAAGATATGAATAAATTTTTTTTATATAAGAGGGAAATTTGTGAAAATTTCCCATGCAGTTTACCACTTTGATGATATATTTTTTATGACTCCACACTACAGCAATATATGGATGTGCAATATATTATGTAATGCCTCCCTAATTGTTGATCACTTATAACTAGGGCTACAATGATTCTAAATATAATATTAAGCCATATTATATAGTAGAATATTTCCAAATAATATTTGATCAAATAGTTTATTTCATTATTTTAAGAATTATCCAATATTATGCCATATGTAAATAGCATATAAGAATATAATGTATACTCATTAATTAATAGAGAAAAACACAGGAATTTCTTAACAGAAGTAGAAATGGCGTTAGATAAAATTGAAAAAGAAGTTAGGTTGAAAATCGGTGATCTAAACTTCAAATCAGAAGTTAAAAAGGAATGACAAAGTAAACCCTACAAAAGTAAACAATGAAAATTAAGACAAGATCATAAATTTACAAATTAACAGACATACAGCAAAGTATGGTGTTTAAAAAGATAATATTGATAAATTCTAACAAGACTGCAAAGAAAAAAAATAAGGAAAAACCTCAATAATGAACAATAGTAGGAACTCAAAACCAGGCATCACTATACATCCTACAGACTTTAAATGGTTAATAAAAGAATATTAGGAACTACTTTATGCTAGTAAATTTTAGATTAAATAGCCAAGTTACTTGACCAAAACACACCAAAAGACTCCAAAACTGCAACAATTAAAAATAGAAATTTGAATTGTACCCTATCTATTAATAAAATTGAATCTGTGATTAAAAACCACTTCACAAAAACTCCATGTTCAAATGGTTTCATTGATAAATGCATCCAAATATTTAAGAAGAAACAAAAATCTTACACAAAATCTTTTAGAGATAAGAAAAAGAGAGAACAATTCCTAACTCATTTTGTAAAATAAACACAATCATGATTCTAAACGTGACAAAGATATTCTTAAGAAGGAAAATTATAGGCGAATATCTCTCAAATATACTAACAAATAGAACCCTGTAATGAAAAGATATTAGTTCTGTCTTTGATGTACAAAGCTGGACAGATTGTCAATCCTAGTTTTGCAGAAAGTGCAACAAACTCCACCTG